CCTTCGGCTGGTGACTGGGGTCTGTGGTGCAAGCAGAATATGCAATAAGAGGTCAAGTGTGTAAGTGAGGTCTTTACATCGCTTAGAAAAAGGCTTATTTGGTTGTTACCAGGGTGGCGTTGCTGAGCAGGGCTCAGAAGGGGTCTGCCTTTGCGTTTGCAGGCCAGGTCGGTCTGTCTTTCCGCTCGTCAGGAGCTGTGGTGTGCAGAAATGAAGCTGTAACCCTCCTGAGAGAGGGTTTGATGTTAATGTCTACCCACCAACAAGCAAAAGCCTACTGCAGGATCTCCCTTGAGAATGGGAGGGCACATCGTGTGCCCGTGGCCTTCAGTAAGCCTGGGAAGTTTCAGTCATTGGGGAGGTTCAGAGCAGAGTGCTGGCTTCAGGCTTAAAAAGCACTGAAAATGGCTTTTGTCTTTTTGTCTTTTCATAAAGAGCTTCTCTGCATAAATACAGCCTCAGTTGCTGAGCTGAAATGGCAGCACTAACTTCTCCTGTATGAAAATCCCTTGTCTCAGGTGTGTGAGTGTTTATCCCTCTGCAGAAGGGCTGGAAAAGCCACGCTTTTCAGGTGAGAAAACTGAAACATGCTCTTTTCATTGTGTTTTCTTGCAGGCAAGAATTCATCTCAGCCCTGAGCAGAACCTGCAGTATGGGTGGCTGGCTTATATGTTGGGAGACAGAACTACAAAGAGGTTCACTGAACGCAGCAAAGTCTTTACAGTGGAGGGGAACTTATCCTCTGGGAAGGGCAAGCTTGCACAACAGATAGCAGAAAAACTAGGTACTGCTTTGACCTATTTCTCTAACAACTAAGTGGATTTAATAGTGTGATTCTTGTGTAAAGCCAGTTCACTTAAACCAACAGTTCTTGGCTAGCAAATTCTTAGGCAGTGCCACAATTCATGTGGAGGGCTTGTAGTTAAGGGCAGAAGAGGACGTTGGTGTGGTTTGAAATGGCACCAGGTTGGTTGTTGGATCTGTGGGATACTTTTCTCACTGAGCTCCTTGAGAGGTAGGATTTTCTGCATGGGTGGGTGCAGAGCACTGGGGTGCTCAGAGGATGGGTGGCAAGAGCTGTTCTTTAGAGGATGGGTGTCTAAAAGCTTTAGTTTAGGACATAGCTCAGCTCTTCACTGGTGAGGTGAAAGGTGGCAATAGTTCCAATAAGGATTTGTCTGCCCTCAATAATGTGATTGACCAAAGGATTTTGGGCTGTTTCACGAGCTGTTTCCAATCCCAGCTATACATTTAATTATATAGATGCTTAGTGTAAAAGAATTCTTCTGATTGGTATTCTTTGGTGGGTTTCTGTTTTGTCAGGCATGAAATACTTCCCAGAAGCTGACATCCATTACCTGAACAGAATCACAGGAGATGGAACGCTGCTGCCTGAGAAGTTTAATGGTTTCTGTAACCTGGAGAGGTTTTACAACGACCCCAAATGCTCTGATGGACACTCGTATCGACTGCAGGCCTGGCTGTTTGGCAATCGTGTTTTGCAGTATGCTGATGCCTTGGAGCACCTGCTGAGCACAGGTTAGACTCCACAGTAAATAAATACCAGTTGTAAACTAGCTTCTGAGTACAAGTTGTGAGTAAGCTGCTTTGAAGGGCTTTGCTGGGATCTTCCTCTGTCTGAAGGGGGCTACAAGGATGCTGCAGAGGGACTCTTCATCAGGGACTGTAGCGATAGGACAAGGGGTGATGGGTTCAGACTGAACCAGGGGAAGTTCAGGTTAGATCTCAGGCAGAAGTTCTTTACTGTGGGAGCGCTGAAGGCCCTGGCACAGGGTGCCCAGAGAAGCTGTGGCTGCCCCATCCCTGGCAGTGTTCAAGGCCAGGTTGGACACAAGCAACCTGCTCTAGTGGAAGGTGTCCCTGCCCGTGGCAGGGGATTGGAGCTGGATGAGCTTTGAGGTCCTTTCCAACACAAACCAGCCTGGGGTCTATGATGTGCATTTTAAAATGAAAGGCTCTTATATTCTTAAGATTTTCATATTTTCCCCCCACCCTTATTACAGGTTAATAGCCCATTTAGAAAACCATTTTGCACATTCTCTGTTAGAAGGTATCTTATGTCCTTTCCAGCAAAGGAAATACCAATTATCAACTTAATTAGTTTTACTTTGGCAATCAAAGTATATCAGACTGGTTTGGGTTGGAAAGGACCTCAAAATCATCCAGTTCCAACCCCCTGCCATGGGGTGTTCTCTTCTCCAGGCTCAACAGCCCCAATGTTCTCAGCCTGTCTCCATACAGGAGGTGCTGCAGCCCCTGCTCATCCTTGTGGCCTCCTCTGGGAAATAAAGATCAATTCCTGATCTTTATTTTCAAAAAGACATTTTAAATGTACCAAGGTAGCTGTGGATTGCACAGCCCTTTAAAACCTCTCCCTAGGCTTAATTCCTGATGGTGTCTTTGGTTCAGTCTTTTGACTTCCATTAAATACTATCTTGTTATTGTATTGTTGTAATGTGAATGTCTTCCTGGGCAAAAAGGTTTCCTGTACCAATACTGATTTACCTGTTCCATGTGCCTTAATAAGTGTTTTCTGAAAAAGGTGAAAAGCTGTGAATGCCAGAAAGTTTCAGGCACATCCATAAACGTACTCCTTAAATACACCAGTACTTTTGGTGGGCACAGAAGGAGAATATATGGGTGAGACAAGTGTGTTCAACCCACATACCCAGTATGTTTGTGTGAGCCAAAACCTTGTTCTTTTGTTTAACAAAGGCATTCAGAAAATAGACTGTAAGAGCAGTACGTGCTTTAATTTTCCATCTCTTTGAGCCTTGCTGACTGGAAACTGCCTTCTATTGCAGGACAAGGTGTGGTGTTGGAGCGCTCTCCCTACAGCGACTTTGTGTTCCTGGATGCAATGTTTAAACAAGGCTATATCCACAAGCGATGTAAGTTCTTTGCCCTCATCTCTCTGAAGTGTGGTAGTTCAGTTCTTCAGAAAGAAAGAAACATGCCTGCTGGGAAGATGGACTCCTTGTAAATATTCAGAGTTGTTCATAAGGTGCTTAGCATCTTCCTGTTGCAGGCATCAAGGATTAATCTCAAGCCGTGAGGCTTTATTCAGTGCTTTTTATCTGCTTATCATAGAATCCCAGACTGGTTTGGGTTGGAAGAGACCTTAAAGCTCCTCCAGTTCCAACCCCCTGCCACAGGCAGGGACACCTTCCACTAGAGCAGGTTGCTCCAAGCCCCTGTGTCCAACCTGCCCTTGAACACTGGTTCTTTTCTCCAAAGTGGAGTCTGGTTGTTGTGGTTTTGGAGAGGAGATCTGCTGTTGCTCAAAAGCTCTGTGGTCTACAGAAGCAAGGAAAAACACTCCAGAAATGATTGTAGATTCATAATCCAGGAGGTTGTAATCTTAATGCTGTTCTTACTGCACTTGTCCTCATTTACAGTATGTCTTGTTGCCTTTAGTTCTGCAGTGTGTTTGATTTTGTTTTATATATAGGTCTTGATCACTACAAGGAGATCAAAGATGTCAGCATTGGTGAATTCCTGCCACCTCACTTGGTCATTTATATAGATGTACCTGTTCCAGAGGTGCAGAAGAGGATTCAAGAGAAAGGAGAGGTAATTTTACCTCTTACAGCTATTACAGCCTCTAACTGTCTGGGGTTCTGCCCTTAAGTCCTGTGGGGTTTTATAGAATCACAGACTAGTTTGGGTTGAAGGGACCTTAAAGCTCCTCCAATTCCAACCCCTGCCATGGGCAGGGACACCTTCCACTAGAGCAGGTTGCTCCAAGCCCCTGTGTCCAACCTGGCCTTGAACACTGCCAGGGATGGGGCAGCCACAGCTTCTCTGGGCACCCTGTGCCAGCGCCTCAGCACCCTCACAGGGAAGGGCTTCTGCCTCAGAGCTCATCTCAATCTCCCTTTGGCAGGTTAAAGCTATTCCCCCTTGTCCTATCACTATATTGCAATATACTCTGTACTTCCTGAGTTCCAAAAGCCCCAAATTTGGTCCCTGTCTCCATCTTCCCCAGTTGACAGGGTTTTCAGACCTCTGCTGATGTTAATGTGTGGGTCACTTGTGATCAGCAAGTCCAGGTCATTTTCTGAAATGAAGAAAATTACTGCTTGGGTGCTTTTGTGTTAATGCAGCAAAACGACCCATTTTAAACATGAAACTGCTTTTCTATAGGTATTCCATGAGATAGAAAATCCAGGGTGCTTTCTGGCTAGTGTAAAAAATCTGATCCTTGTTAGGATGAGCTAGTAGCAATTTGGTTTGCAGTTTCCTGCTCACTTAAAAGGGGAGCTGGTGATTGCTGAAGAGAAGTGAATTCAAAGCCATAAGTGTAAGGGTGCCCTTGCTGCTTTGTGATCTGCGTGGCTGGAGTTGTTTAGTTTGCTGCTTGAGTGACTCTGCCCTTCTGCCCTCCAGCAGTTTAGGCCATGAGTGAATGTGTCTGTGCCTCAATGAGCAAGATACTCCTCCTGATGGGAAAAACACAGCTTTTCCATTTTAGCAACTTCAGTAACAGAAGCCGTTCTGAGGGCTGGAGCCTGTGCTCTGCTCTGGAGCCAGGCTGAGAGAGCTGGGCTGGGTCAGCCTGGACAAGAGAAGGCTCTTGAAGGGGAGACCTTAGAGCAGCTCCAGTGCCTAAAGGGGCTCCAGGAAACCTGGAGAGGGGCTTTGGGCAAGGGATGGAGGGACAGGACAAGGGGAATGGCTTGAACCTGCCAGAGGGGAGACTGAGATGAGCTCTTGGGCAGAAGCTCTTCCCTGTGAGGGTGCTGAGGCGCTGGCACAGGGTGCCCAGAGAAGCTGTGGCTGCCCCATCCCTGGCAGTGTTCAAGGACAGGTTGGACACAGGGGCTTGGAGCAACCTGCTCTAGTGGAAGGTGTCCCTGCCTGTGGCAGGGGGTTGGAACTGTGTGAGCTTTAATCTCTCTTCCAACCCAAAGCAGTCTGGGGTTCAGTGGACCTGGGAGTTCTTTGCTCTTGTGAACACAAATTTTGGTGGCAATTTTGAGACCTTTAGGCAGCAATTGCTGCTGTAACTTGTAACTTTTTGGGTCAGTGGTACTGCTGAAGAGTGTAGTGCTTGTTTGGGGCTGGTATTTTCGGGAATTCTGCCTTCTCAGTGGATGGAGTGGGTATTCAGTGTGCTGTTGTTGTGGGGCTCTGGAAAAAGAGGAGCCCTCCAGTGGACCCAACTAGCAGACACACATCATTCCAACATGATTCTTGGATGAGCATTTCAAGGAGGAAATGTACTTAAATTTTAGGATTGAACTGAAGGAACACATGGTAGATTGGAGCAATTCCTGCTATTTTGCAAATGTGGCATTAAAGTAGACTGCGTGGAAGAGAAACTCTTTGACAGCAGGTATGATATCCATGAAATTCCAAGGGAAAGCTGTTGGGGTGATTGCCCCTTTAAGCACTGGAAGTTGCCCCAAGGGCACATTTACCCTCTTATTGGAAAGGCAAACTCAGAGTCTCGTGTTTTCTGGATGCTTATATATGACTTCCTTAAACATACAGGTAGGTAGGGTTGCACAGGCCTTAGAAAGCTGGTCTTTTTGAGGCTGGTGATGTATGGTTCTCCTAGCTTATGTGAACTCAAGGAAAATGAGATGTTTCTTGGTACAGACTGAAATTGGAAGAAACCTTTTCACTTTTACCCTCTTCTATTGAACCTGCTTTTCCCTATCTAGATTCAGTAGCATATGAGAAGAATCATACTCATATGGCTAATCATTCAAACTGTGGACATAGCAGTGCAGGGCAAAGCAGTGATTAACACACACTGTCTTGTTCTTCAGGGTACTTTCAATATTTAATGCCACATAAGAGATTCTAAACACTCCAAAAGTCTTCATTCTTACAGCTTCCATGAATGTGTATGTGGTTCACTTGGATGTTTGACTGCTAATACAGGGCAAGCTGGTGTAGCAGCACTTTCTGCTTGGGCTGATGTCTGTACTGGTGGGAAAAGAAAGAAGAGTCATTTTACAGCCTTGTTTTCTGTTTGCTTTTTTAGGCATATGAGAAAAAGGTGTCTCCTTCCTATCTCCAGCACATTGAGGATGCTTACAAGAAAACCTTCTTACCAGAGATCAGGTTAGCAAAAATGCTTTGTCTATTAAGTCTTGGAGAAAAACATGTGTGCAAATCCTCATATATCTGCCAATAGAAGCAAATAAACTCATGTCGTGAGAAATCCTCCTTGTGCCATGTACAATATTGCTTCTTAGTGATGTGGTATCACATTCATGGCATGGTAACTCTGTGTACTTGTGTGTAGTTACCTCTGGCACTGAGGAGCCTGATGCCACTGTTACAACGTTGGAAGCTTAAAAATGAAGTCATTTTAGGTGTGAGCTTTCTAAAGCAATGATTGGTTTGATTCTTAATGGGTTCAGAGTGGGGCAAGTGTTGTGCAATAGTAAATGCATTAGATTTCATTGGTTTGTATGTTGTAAAGCTGAGGAGCCCTCATCTGCAGTAAGGTTTCATCCTGCTGTACTAAGGCATTACAGCTTTGCTGGCACAGAGTCAGATACAAAGAAACATCCACTTTTTCATTGTTAAAAGAGCACTTCAGGAGCAAAGCTGGGTATCTGGTCTGTTTGCTCTGCAAAACCAAGTTCTGTCTCCCTTTTTGACAGCCCTCAGCATGTGCTTGGCATCAACACCTTTCATTCTGTTAGCTGGCAGGAGTGGTTGGAATCCTTTTCTTGGCATGATGTCCAAAATGCCATAACCATAGCTGTGTGTTTGCATGACCTTAGGAAAGTGTGATGCAATCTAAGGTCTTTTGGGGAGAGTTTGGGTTTATTCTCTCCTTTCAGTTGCCATAGGTTTGGCTGGTTTCTTGGTTGTGGTATGGAGGAATAGGAGGAAGGTTATCAGGAAAGGGACTGTTCCCTTTCCTAGCTTTGCTTCTTCACCTTCTGAGGCATATCCCTGGTAGCCTTCCATGTTTGAAAAGGGTTTGGTGGACTTTTTAGTGCTGGTAAGTGAAGACTGCACTGCCACCTGTTCTGAGAGACTGGAGGTGCTCTACTCTGGGCTCTCCTGGCTTTCTCTTGCTTCCCCACTAGAATGTGTGCCCTATGAACTTGATATGAGGTTATTACAGTTTGGCAGCTCTCCTAGTTGTTATAAAAGAGCTCTAGCAAAAATCAGATAGTCCTAAAATTCCTAAACAAATAGGTTCCTGGAAGGGAAACTCTTACAGGTCACAGAACTATACATGAAAACATTCTGTAATCACTCGAGGTTCATGTGTGCATGAAGCTGACTGAGTTGCACTTAGGTGTAAAGTAGATCTTTGGCTATGTTGTGGCCTGCTCTTGTTGTCCCCTTGCTTTCTTGCTCTACCTCCCAGTGTAACTGCACTGTCAGCAGTTGACTGAATAACTTTGTACAGAGCTTGTCATTCACACAAGGTGATGTGATGTATGGTCAGCTGCATCCCAGTGTGGTAGTGTCCAGCACGTGGCTCTCAGAAGGCAATGGTGGGGGCTAAGGATGGAGAGGAAAAGTGGGAAGCCTTGAGTCTGTCATCCCCCTGAGGGGAGAATGGTTTGAATGTATTGGTGAGGAGAAAAATGCTGCTTGTTCTTTGAGTCAAACCAAGTGGTGTTGCATGAGGCTAAACCTAGAGCTGGTCCTGCTGTGATTTCAACTCTT